TTCCACTTTGAATATTAGTAAATAAAAGACGATGAATTATATGTCAAAAATAATAAAGCAAATATACATAAAAAAGTAATACAACAAAGATACACTCATGTATCTGCATAAATATGCATAAACTTAAACATCCATAAACCATGAATGTATGAATCGTATAAAAGATACAAACCAAAGTGGGTGTTAGTGTTAAGGGAAAATCTAACAAAGTGGTTGCACTGGTTGTGTTGTTCAGTTCTGGCTCCATCTTTTGGTATATGGAGGGATTCTGAGATGATGGGGTTTTGGCGGGGGGTGGGGGGGTGAGAAAACAAAATGTTGAAATCCGTTACAGAAAGGATGTGAGTGTTACTGTGAATGCTCTCTTGTTGTCGAGAAAGATGGTTCTGCTCAACGGGAAGTCATTCCTGAAAAAACTGACTGCTTCGTGTTCTGATATTACCTAACTTACCTAACTTTACAGCTAGAACGCTACAATAAAACAAGAGTCAGAGCTGTAATTTATTGGATGTTTTATAAACTGCAAACTGATAGTATTGCTAAAAGTAAAGATAAATATAAAATGTACTTTCCCAAAAAGTAAAAATAAGTTTACTATTTATGGTCTCACTTGGCAGTGGAGACGATATGTTGGATTTTTTTTCACACAGAAACGTTTTAGTTTCATAAAACAAATGCAATAGGTATCCACCTTTTAAAATAAATATTTGGTTATGAAAAGCAGACTAGTTACACGATTTTCATGATTTTATATTTTGTATATCTATGGAGTATAGCTGAGGAAGTGAAGGCGAGTTCAGTGAAGGTTTCTTTTGTTTTCAATAAAATATAGTATGAAAGATGTTATTATTATTGGAGGAAGGTCTCAATTTTTTCACAGGTAAACTTTATGCTCGGGTGTTCGAAGTTGAGGTAAGAAAAACAATGGTTTGCATGTGAATGATGTTTCATATAGAGCATAAAAAAAATACCTATCTATCCATGTACCCACCTATTTATCTATCCACCTATCTCTCTCTCTCTCTCTCTCTCTCTCTATGTATATATATATACTATTATATACATATACTATTTATTTGTCCATCTCAACCTATATCTATCTATCTATCTATCTGTCTATATATACCCATCTATCTATCTGTTTGTCTATAATTCTACCTCCCTGCCTACCTACTTACCTATCTGTCAGTCCGTCCATCTATCAAGACATTCATATGATACGACACATGGTATAATGACCTTAAACAAAGGTGTAAGAATAAACCGCCAATGGTTATGCGAACAAAAACAATGAAATGTTTCCTTGGGGCGAATTTCAGGCCTTCTGAGTTATTGTTAGACTTATGTCTCCTTGCACACGAAATTTCTCTCATGTGTGTATGTGTGATTGTGTGTGTGTGTGTGTGTGTGTGTGTGTGATTTTGATTGTGTATGTATGATTTTTGTGTGCGTGTTTATGACCATATGTATGCTATACGGACTTACTTAAAATTATAATGATAGCGGTGATGATGGTGATGATAATAATGATGATATATAAATAAAAAGAAATAGATAAAAAGGAAACGGACTGCTGAGTGTAGCCATGATGCATTTCACCTTATCCCTATAACGAGTGTGACTTGTAGCTTGGTAACAGTTTTGTTATTAATGTTATTACTGTGATTATCATTATTAATATTGTTATTAATATTATTATTGCTATCGCTGTTACCATTAATATCATTATCACTATCATTATCATTATTGTTAGTCATATTACTATGAATACTTGAAAATTGAATCTGGGATACTTGCCACGTTTAGTTCTATACCCAGAATTACCATATGACGTTTACCTGTTGTGAACATAAATATTACAAACCGACTTCATATGTTTCTAGTTTGTAAATATACCAAAGTAGGCATTCCTTACAGTAAAACACTACATTCTCTGAGAAGCAGCCAGTACCAACTTGAATGACATGAGAAAATGTGATAAATCTGCGTTCATCTTGACACCTGTCGTGATTGTGTGTTGCGTCTCGTACGCAGTCAGTCCTTTCTCTCTCTATCTCCCTCTCTCTCACTCTCTCTCTCTCTCTCTCTCTCTCTCTCTCTCTCTCTCTACATACATATATATATATATATATATATATATATATATATATATATATATATATGTGTGTCAGGGTAGAGACTGCAATCGGGTAGAATCAGAGATTCTACCAGTAGAGACTCCGATCGGAGTTTCTACCAGTAGAGTCTCCGATTGCAGTTTCTACTGGTAGAATCTCAGATTTTACCCGTAGAGACGCCGATCAGAGTTTCTACTGGTTGAGTCTCTGATTCTGTATTGTATTGTATTGTATTGTATTGTATTGTAGACTTTTCTTTTGCATAAAAAAAATGAAAAAAATCACACTGACTATCTGATAAATCAATTTAGTTGTCTTTTAATACAATACTACAGAGGACTAGTATGCAGTGCAAATTTAGCTAGACATTGATCATCAAATAAAAATGGTTAAATCAATTTAGTTGTCTTTTAATACCATACTACAGAGGACTAGTATGCAGTGCAAATTCAGCTAGACATTGATCATCAAATAAAAATGGTTATTTGGATTAGAGACTCTACCAGTAGAAACCCTGATTGGAATCTCTACTGGTAGAATATCAAATTCTACCAGTAGAGACTGCAATCGGAGACTCTACTGGTAGAATCTCTGATTGTACCAGATTGCAGTCTCTACCCTGACATATATATATATATATATATATATATATATATATATATATATATATATATATGTATGTATATATACATATATATATATTTATATATATATATATATATATATATAAATATTTATTACTTTATCTCTATCTATACATACCTCTCTCTCTCTCCCTCCCACCCCTCTCTCTCTCTTCCTCCCTCTATTCCTCTCCCTCTTCCTCTGTCTCTCCCTCACCCTACTTAGCTCCCCCAGTCTCTTTTTACCTACCTATCTATCTGTACCTTTATTTTCTCTATTTTTTCCGATTTTTTTCCCCTCTCTTGCAGAGCTAGAGTGTTCTGATACAGGCAGTGATAAAGCTTGTATTGTTGCTTCACTGCCCTTCGTGTAAAAAGTTCAGAGGAAAATAAAAATCCGTTTTTTATATAAATATCCTTTTATTCTCGCAAATAATGTTACTCTCGTAAATCCTTGAGTAAAAGAGTTGTTTGTGTTTTCACCCTTGTTTTTGTGTTTCACTTTTTTCTTCATGAAAATGAAAAGGAAGAAGCGTGGATAATATTTTCAGGATATTTTGACTATATAAGAGATCCAATATGCAAATCGGTATGATATTAACACTCTCCATATGATGAAATCTTACAATAGTAAACACCACTGATAGGAATGCTAGGATTGATACTATGATAAGGGTGACAGTGAAACAGATAATGGTAGTGAAGGCAATTATATCAACGGAGAAATAACTATAAACAATAAAAGCAAAGCAGTTTATTTTATCATGCATTGCAGTAATGAAGATAAGCTGTAAAGATAGCAGTAATGAAGAGGTAAATGATAATCTTAATAGAACCATCATTGGAGTGCATTTGAATGAATGAATTAAGGTCCGCATCTGACTCAGCACAATAATGTATCAAAATGCCGTACGATCGTCATTTTGGCTGTAACGTGACCCTTGTACAGTGCGAGGAAAGGAAAGACATCATGAAGAAGGAATATTTATGCCTTCTTAGTTACTTAACAGTAAGATAAAGTTATTTATAAACAATTACGAATATATATAAGTGTGTGTGTGTAAGTGTGTAGACATACTCACACACACATCTCTCTCTATATATACGTATATATAAATATATATATGTATATATATATATATATATATATATATATTGAGCAGTACGAGAAGTGTAACCATTAAAGTAATGGTAATATTCTAGCTGAATTTAGCGAATTAGAACAATAACCGAGGAAAAGTTACCTTGTAAGATCATATTACTGGGCTGGTACATAATGGCCAATTATGTCATACAGGAGCCATAGTGTGTCATCTAATGAATTCGATCGGCTAAAAAATCAAATAGATCTTTATGAATCGGAAACCATTTTCTTTCTTTGATAACATTACTATCAGCATATACGGTTTAGGATGGAATTTATATCTGACTTAATAGAAAAAAAAGAATAAAAAAGGTCTAATGATCACCCCTAAAACCAAACAAGACCTGGAACATTGTTCACGCGGCACTTTAATAACGCAGAATAAAAAGAAGTGATATCGTGTTTAATAGCGATTCTCCACGATTCCCTTTTGATTAGCTTCTGCCCAAACAGATACCATTTTAGATACCTGCAATTGTCTCACATTATCAAAAAAAAATGGTAGTAGGTAATGTCTCGTTATAAATGACTCGGTATTAATTAAAACGTCGGTTAGTTATTTTTTAGAAAAAGTGAAATGTAGTGAATCAAAATGCAGATCCTAACAGGGTCTATTCAGAGTCTTTTTATCACGTTCCGAAATATCTTAACTGTCTTGTTATATCCTTGGTTCTGGTAAATACACTCCTTGTTTGCGTCAACTCTGACTCAAGCAATCGTATCAAATGGTATCAAATGATGATATGCATACAAATAGGGCCTGTATATATAACCATGTTTTTAAATGTAAACCTATAGGCCGACATATATTCAAATATATGGCTATATATAATCTAAATAAAAAAAATGAGGATATGAGTATTAATAGTTCACATTATATTATCAGCAACCTTTGCCATTTATACATATAACCAGAAAAGTGTGTATTGATACTGAAGAATTTGCATTGCTATCGGTTTTTTTTTTTCTTTCTTTCTTTCTTTTTTAACAATAGAAGTAAACGAGAACGGTGGCAAAATGCAAGATCTGACTTGCACTTTCCACTCACTACAAGGTCATTAGCGACATATATAAACCACTGCACAAAATCTTACTCACACACACTCTTCTGTTGTGGCCACAGCAAAAGTGCTTTACCCAAGATGAAGTGCTTGGTGAGTACGTGTTTTTTTTTTTTTTTTCTCTCTCTCTCACTTGATGCATTTGTCACTCATTGCAGCAGATCTATAGATTTCTCTGAATTCATTTTCAGGCGTTTGTGCTCCTGGCGGCTGCCGTTTGCGCTTCCGAAATCGAGAAGCGAGAGGCGGAGCCCAGCGTAGTTTATCATTCCGGCTACACAACTTCAGTCCATCTACCGACCTACGGACCATCCCTCCCTACTCATCACCACAAGAGATCAGCAGATGCTGAGCCTTCCAGTCCTTATGGCGTCAGGACCATCTCCCACACTCCTGTTTATGGTGGATATGGACACAACGTTCATACACTCCACAAAAGGGCTGCTGACGCTGAAGCTTCTCGACTTTACTCTCACAGAAGCTATTCTTCCATCCCCGTAGCCCACGGAGGATACCATGGTCACCGGTTCCACAAGAGGTCTGCTGAGCCCGAAGCTGAGGCTGAGGCTTCTCGTGGTTATCTCCCTTATCATCCATACACTCCAGTTGCACCTTACGGCCGACACATCTACAAGAGGTCTGCTGAACCGGAGGCCGAGGCTGAGGCTTCTCGTGGTTATCTCCCTTATCATCCATACACTCCAGTTGCACCTTACGGCCGACACATCTACAAGAGGTCTGCTGAACCAGAAGCTGAAGCTGAGGCTTCTCACGGTTATCTCCCTTATCATCCATACACTCCAGTTGCACCTTACGGCCGACACATCTACAAGAGGTCTGCTGAGCCAGAAGCTGAGACTGAGGCTTCTCACGGTTATCTCCCTGCTTACATTCCCTACACTCCTGTGCAAACTTCATACAGCCGACACCTCTACAAGAGGTCTGCTGAGCCTGAGGCAGAGCCATCTTACCTATACGCTCCTGTCTCTTACGCACATACTTCTGTTTATCGTCCTGCTTCTGTTTATCGTTCCCTCTATTACTGAGCCGGTACATAATGGACAATTATGCCAAACAGGAGCCATAGTGTGTCATCTAATTAATTCCACCGGAAAAGATCAATAAATCTTCACGAATCGGAAACTCCATTTTCTTTCCTTGATAACAGTGCTGTCAGCTGGACGGCATATATGGTTTTAAATAGAATGCATATTTGATTTATTGAAAATGGCAAAGATAAAAAAGAAAAAAGAAAAACTATTGCTCAACCTTTTAATCAAATTAGACCTGGAACATTGAAGAATAAAAAAAAGTAATATAGTGTATAATAGCGATTCTTCACGATTTCTATATGCTTCCCTTCTGCTAAAACAGAGACAAGCCATCATACCTATAATCTCATCTTACAAACCTGCACTTGTCTCCCAATATCAAAAAGCTGTTACTAGCTAAAGCGTCTTGTTATAAATGACTCGGAATTTATTGAGGATTAGTAAACTTTATTATTTACAAAAAGTTGAATACAATGGACGAAAAATGCGGATCCTGTCAAATACATATAGTTTCTTTTTATCAAGTTACGAAATTTTGTATCTGAACTGTTTTGTTGTATCCTTAGTTCTCGTTAGTACACTCCTCTGACACAAGTAATATATCAAATGATATTTATCTACATCTATATTCCCATTACTAATTTATGCCTATATATTTCAGTGATCATTTTACAAGTTTCTTAAATGACAGCGAAAGAATAATAACAGTGTTGTTAGCAATAATGATAATGATAATGATCGTATTATCACACATTATTATTATTACTTTAGCTTTTTATCATTAATTATAATATAGTTAATTCTATAGTAATGATATCAGCAATTCAAATACTTATATAAACGTAACAATATTAATAATAATCATTACCGTTATTATTATTATTACTGTTATCAAAATATGTTTGCGGTAGAGGTGAAGACATGCCTGCAATATTCCTGCTAAAACTAGCGAATTCATACGAAATTTATCATTTGTCAGCAAGCGGAAATTCTTAAGAGTTATCCCTTTGACGAATGAATTTCTATTGACCTTTTTTGTTTGTTTTTGCAATACTAGTTTCTATTTTATTATAAGATATATCATCTCGCTACCAATATGATTACTATACAGTATATTACAGGACCAATTCTTTTCAAATTTTATACATATTTGTAAGTCATTTTCCTTTCACTAAGGTATAGTTATAGCTTATACGCTCTAAAGGATGTTTCTTTGAAATTAAAATTACACGTATGATGATATAAACATATGTGCATATAAATATTTATACCTATATATGCATACAAATAAGGCCTATATATATATAACCATGCTTTTAAATGTAAGCCTATAGCCCGACATATATTCAATATGGCTATATATGTAATCTAAAAAAAATGAGGATATAAATATTAATAGTTCACATTATATTATCAGCAATTTTTACCATTTATACATATATAAATATATGTGCACATGCATGTATATATGTATAAATCTAATATAACTAGAAAAGTCTGTATTGATACTGAAGAATTTGCATTGCTATCGTTTTTTTCTTTTTCTTTTTCTTATTTTTAACAATAGAAGTAAACGAGAATGGTGGCAAAATGCAAGATCTGACTTGCACTTTCCACTCACTACAAGGTCATTAGCGACATATATAAACCACTGCACAAAATCTTACTCACACACACTCTTCTGTTGTGGCCACAGCAAAAGTTCTTAACCCAAGATGAAGTGCTTGGTAAGTACGTGTTTTTTTTTTCCACTTGGTGCATTTGTGCCACTCATTGCAGTAGATCTACAGATTTCTCTGAATTCATTTTCAGGCGTTTGTGCTCCTGGCGGCTGCCGTTTGCGCTTCCGAAGTCGAGAAGCGAGAGGCGGAGCCCAGCGTAGTTTATCATTCCGGCTACACAACTTCAGTTCATCTACCGACCTACGGACCATCCCTCCCTACTCACCACCACAAGAGATCAGCAGATGCTGAGCCTTCCAGTCCTTATGGCGTCAGGACCATCTCCCACACTCCTGTTTATGGTGGATATGGACACAACGTTCATACACTCCACAAAAGGGCTGCTGACGCTGAAGCTTCTCGACTTTACTCTCACAGAAGCTATTCTTCCATCCCCGTAGCCCACGGAGGATACCATGGTCACCGGTTCCACAAGAGGTCTGCTGAGCCCGAAGCTGAGGCTGAGGCTTCTCAGAGTTATCTCCCTTATCTTCCATATGCTCCAGCTGCAACTTACGGCCGACACATCTACAAGAGGTCCGCTGAACCAGAAGCTGAGGCTGAGGCTTCTCGTGGTTATCTCCCTTATCTTCCATACACTCCAGTTGCACCTTACGTCCGACACATCTACAAAAGGTCTGCTGAACCAGAGGCTGAGGCTGAGGCTTCTCAGAGTTATCTCCCTTATATTCCATATGCTCCAGCTGCAACTTACGGCCGACACATCTACAAGAGGTCTGCTGAACCAGAAGCTGAAGCTGAGGCTTCTCACGGTTATCTCCCTTATCATCCATACACTCCAGTTGCACCTTACGGCCGACACATCTACAAAAGGTCTGCTGAACCAGAAGCTGAAGCTGAGGCTTCTCACGGTTATCTCCCTGCTTACATTCCCTACACTCCTGTGCAAACTCCATACAGCCGACACCTCTACAAGAGGTCTGCTGAGCCTGAGGCAGAGCCATCTTACCTATACGCTCCTGTCTCTTACGCACATACTTCTGTTTATCGTCCTGCTTCTGTTTATCGTTCCCTCTATTACTGAGCCGGTACATGATGGACAATTATGCCAAACAGGAGCCATAGTGTGTCATCTTATGAATTCAACCGGAAAAAAAATCAATAAATCTTCACGAATCGGAAACTCCATTTTCTTTCCTTGGTAACGTTGCTGTCAGCTGGATGACATATATGGTTTTAAATAGAATGCATATTTGATTTATTGAAAAAAGACAACGATGATAAAAAAAAAAAAACTATTGCTCAACCTTTTAATCAAATTAGACCTGGAACATTGTTCGCGTGGTACCTAAGTGAGGAAGAATAAAAAAAAAGTGATATAGTGTATAACAGCGATTCTTCCCGATTTCTATATGCTTCCTTTCTGCTAAAACAGAGGCAAGCCATCATACCTATAATCTTATCTTATAAACCTGCACCTGGTAAAGCGTCTCGTTATAAATTACTCGGCATTTATTGAAGATTAGTAAACTTTATTATTAAACGAAAGATGCGGATCCTGTCAAATGCATCAAGTTACGAAATATTTTATCTTAACTGTTTTGTTGTATACTTAGTTCTCGTAAGTACACTCCTCGGATTTGTGTATATATATATATACATATACATATATACATATATTACTTTATCTCTGTGTATACATACCTACCTCTTTTGTTTCTCTTTCATTTTCCGCCTGTATTTATGTGATTTTTTTCCTCTGTCTTTCTCTCTTTTTATCATCCAACCTCCCTCTGTTTCTCCCATCATATAATCCTCTCCCTCTCTCTTTCTCCCTCCCCCCCCTATCTCTCTTCCTCCCTCTATTCCTTTCCCTCTTCCTCTGTCTCTCTCTCACCCTCCCTCTCCTTAGCTCCCCCAGTCTCTTTGTACCTATCTATCTATCTTTATCTTTATTTTCTCGTTCCTCCACCTACTAATATTTTTTTTCCGATTTTCTTCCCCTCTCTTGCAGAGCTAGAGTGTTCTGATACAGGCAGTGATAAAGCTTGTATTGTTGCTTCACTGCCCTTCGTGTAAAAAGTTCAGAGGAAAATAAATATCCTTTTATTCTCGCAAATAATGTTACTCTCGTAAATCCTTGAGTAAAAAAGTTGTTTGCGTTTTCTTCTGTGTTTCACTTTTTCTTCAAATAATTATCATTTTTTATGATGAAAATGAAAAGGCAGAGGCGTGGATGATATTTTCAGGATATTTTGACTATTTAAGAGAGTCAGCGTCCAAATATGTATAATATTAACACTCTCCATATGATGAAATCATATAATAGTATACAACACTGATAGGAATGCTAGGATTGATACTATGATAAGGGTGACAGTGAAACAGATAATGGTAGTGAAGGCAATTATATCAACGTCGATGGAGAAATAACTATAAACAATAAAAGCACAGCAGTTTATTTTGATTATCATGCATTGCAGTAATGAAGATAAGTTGGAAAGGTAACAGTAATGAAGAGGTAAATGATAATCTTAATAGAACCATCACTGGAGTGCATTTGAATGAATGAATTAAAGTCCGCATCTGACTCAGCACAATAATGTATCAAAATGCCTTACGATCGTCATTTTGGCTGTAACGTGACCCTTGTGCAGTGCGAGGAAAGGAATGATATCAGGAAGAAGGAATACTTGTGCCTTCTTACTTACTTAACAGTAAGATAAAGTTATTTATAAACAATTACTTATGTATATAAGTGTGTGTGTATGTAGACACACTCACACACACATCTCTCTCTATATATATGTATATATAAATATATATATATATGTATATATATATAAATATATATATGTATATATATATAAATATATATAAATATATATTGAGCCGTACGAGAAGTATAACCATTAAAGTAATGGTAATATTCTAGCTGAATTTAGCGAATTAGAACAATAACCGAGGAAAAGTTACCTTGTAAGATCATATTACTGGGCTGGTACATAATGGCCAATTATGCCATACAGGAGCCATAGTGTGTCATCTAATGAATTCGATCGGCTAAAAAATCAAATAGATCTTTATGAATCGGAAACCATTTTCTTTCTTTGATAACATTGCTATCAGCAAATACGGTTTAGAATGGAATTTATATCTGACTTAATAAAAAAAAAAGGATAAAAAAGTCTAATGATCATCCCTAAAACCAAACAAGACCTGGAACATTGTTCACGCGGCACTTAAATAACGCAGAATAAAAAGAAGTGATATAGTGTTTAATAGCGATTCTCCACGATTCCCTTTTGATTAGCTTCTGCCCAAACAGATACCATCTTAGATACCTGCAATTGTCTCACATTATAAAAAAAAAAAATGGTAGTAGGTAATGTCTCGTTATAAATGACTAGGTATTTATTAAAACGTCGGTTAATTAGTTATTTTTTACAAAAAGTGAAATGTAGTGAATCAAAATGCAGATCCTGACAGGTCTATGCAGAGTCTTTTTATCAAGTTCCGAAATATCTTAACTGTCTTGTTATATCCTTAGTTCTGGTAAATACACTCCTCGTTTGCGTCAACTCTGACTAAAGTAATCGTATCAAATGGTATCAAATGATGATATGCATACAAATAAGGCCTGTATATATAACCATGTTTTTAAATATAAGCCTATAGGCCGACATATATTCAAATATATGGCTATATATAATCTAAATGAAAATGATGAGGATATGAGTATTAATAGTTCACATTATATTATCAGCAACTTTTACCATTTATACATATAACCAGAAAAGTGTGTATTGATACTGAAGAATTTGCATTGCTATCGTTTTTTTTTTTCTTTCTTTCTTTCTTTCTTTTTTAACAATAGAAGTAAACGAGAACGGTGGCAAAATGCAAGATCTGACTTGCACTTTCCACTCACTACAAGGTCATTAGCGACATATATAAACCACTGCACAAAATCTTACTCACACACTCTTCTGTTGTGGCCACAGCAAAAGTGCTTAACCCAAGATGAAGTGCTTGGTGAGTACGTGTTTTTTTTTCCCACTTGATGCATTTGTGCCACTCATTGCAGCAGATCTGCAGATTTCTCTGAATTCATTTCCAGGCGTTTGTGCTCCTGGTGGCTGCCGTTTGCGCTTCCGAAATCGAGAAGCGAGAGGCGGAGCCCAGCGTAGTTTATCATTCCGGCTACACAACTTCAGTTCATCTACCGACCTACGGACCATCCCTCCCTACTCACCACCACAAGAGATCAGCAGATGCTGAGCCTTCCAGTCCTTATGGCGTCAGGACCATCTCCTACACTCCTGTTTATGGTGGATATGGACACAACGTTCATACACTCCACAAAAGGGCTGCTGACGCTGAAGCTTCTCGTCTTTACTCTCACAGAAGCTATTCTTCCATCCCCGTAGCCCACGGAGGATACCATGGTCACCGGTTCCACAAGAGGTCTGCTGAGCCCGAAGCTGAGGCTGAGGCTTCTCGTGGTTATCTCCCTTATCATCCATACACTCCAGTTGCACCTTACGGCCGACACATCTACAAGAGGTCTGCTGAACCGGAGGCCGAGGCTGAGGCTTCTCGTGGTTATCTTCCTTATCTTCCATACACTCCAGTTGCACCTTACGGCCGACACATCTACAAGAGGTCTGCTGAACCAGAAGCTGAGGCTTCTCGTGGTTATCTTCCTTATCTTCCATACACTCCAGTTGCAACTTACGGCCGACACATCTACAAGAGGTCTGCTGAGCCAGAAGCTGAGGCTGAGGCTTCTCATGGTTATCGCCCATATCTTCCATACTCTCCAGTTGCACCTTACGGCCGACACATCTACAAGAGGTCCGCTGAACCAGAAGCTGAAGCTGAGGCTTCTCACGGTTATCTCCCTGCTTACATTCCCTACACTCCTGTGCAAACTTCATACAGCCGACACCTCTACAAGAGGTCTGCTGAGCCTGAGGCAGAGCCATCTTACCTATACGCTCCTGTCTCTTATGCACATACTTCTGTTTATCGTCCTGCTTCTGTTTATCGTTCCCTCTATTAATGAGCCGGTACATAATGGACAATTATGCCAAACAGGAGCCATAGTGTGTCATCTAATTAATTCAACCGGAAAAAAATCAATAAATCTTCACGAATCGGACACTCCATATTCTTTCCTTGGTAACGTTGCTGTCAGCTGGATGACATATATGGTTTTAAATAGAATGCATATTTGATTTATTGAAAAAAGACAAGGATAAAAATTAAAAAAATCAATGGCTCAACCTTTTAATCAAATTAGACCTGGAACATTGTTCACATGGTACCTAAATGAGGAAGAATAAAAAAAAAAGTGATATAGTGTATAATAGCGATTCTTCCCGATTTCTATATGCTTCCCTTCTGCTAAAACAGAGGCAAGCCATCATACCTATAATCTCATCTTATAAACCTGCACCTGGTAAAGCGTTTCGTTATAAATTACTCGGCATTTATTGAAGATTAGTAATCTTTATTATTTAAAAAAAAAGTATAATGAACGAAAGATGCGGATCCTGTCAAATGCATCAAGTTACGAAATATTTTATCTTAACTGTTTTGTTGTATACTTAGTTCTCGTAAGTACACTCCTCGGATGTGTGCATATTTATACATATACATATACATATATTACT